CGCCACGGCCACAAGAAGAAGAAGGTCCTCAAGGGCCTCAAGAAGCTCAAGAAGAAGCTGGCGCCGTACCTGCCGCTCCTCGCCATCCCGCTCGCCATCCAGCTCATGATGCTGCCCCTCTACATCATGGCGCTCAAGATGATGGCGCTCAAGTCCATCCTGCTCGGCAAGATGACCCTCATGCTCGTGGCCTTCAACATCCTCCGCAACGTACAGCAGAGACAGGTCAGAGTTACCTCGATGTGAACCCTTTTCTTTGTGTGTGACAACAGAGCGTGCGTTGTTAGTGCGGGTCCATGACCCTCTCGTTTTACGACAGCTCCACACAGCCCGATCGAATGAGATTCCAAACTGAAAGTGAAAAGAGGAAAAACCGGAAAGAAAACGTTCCGTGGCCGTGGGGAGAGGGTGGGACCAAGCGTGGGCCCCTCGCTGGAGGACCATTCTGGCTTGAGTGTTCCGTTTTCTCTATCACGCACTCACTCACGCCCATCACACACTCACACACACATGCCTTCTCGAGAGAGGCCACACAATCGACATCTAGCAAAATAGAGTCCAAATCCTTGCGTTGGTATGCACCCGCGGTCCCTTGTTTGTTAACGCTGTAATGTGCTTCCGTTTGCAGATCGAGGACGACCACAACAGCCGCGTGGCGGCCGAGTACTACGGCTACCAAGACGACGGGATCGAGTACGGCGGCTGGGTCAACCGGAGGAGAGGCTTCTCGGGGAGGAGCGAAACACCCTGGCAACAGCGGAGCCAGGGCAGCCGGCGCCGTCGGCGGTAGCCCCAGAGGGCTCGGTGGCGGTGCGGGGGAGTCGGGTTGGGAAAAAATGTCCTCTTTCGGGTTTCAGATACCACTCGGTGTGGTTATCAGCTTAGAACAGTGTAGAGTAGCCCTACGCTACACCTCCTTTCTGTGCCGAGCGCAAACGTCGGCCAAAGACAAGGGGGCTGTAGGAGAAGTGAAGGTCGGACGGGACGTGCTTTTCTTTACGTTGGGCCAATCTATCCGATCCTCATGTCTCCGTTAGCGAATAATTCAATTATTACATAGTGTACATAAAAAAACATTAGATCTATTGTCCTTTGTGGTTCGTTCTTTCCTTCCATGATATTTTCCTGGAAGAAAAGTTTGAGGGAAACTATATTCATTTTCATCAAGTTCATAAGACTGAGAAAGACAAACACTTTTCATGATGCAGTGTGTCTCATAGGCCCCGTTCTATTTTGTTCTAGTTACAAAAATCACTGTGTAGACCAAAA